CAGATCAGCAGCTTGTTGTGTGCATGGTGCTGAAAGCCTCTGCAGGTGTGTGAGCTTCCAGCTCCAACATGAGAACATGAGAGCTGACAGGAAGCTGCTCTGAGCAGGACTGAAGTCCCTGCTGCTCTTTCTTCTGGATGCTGCTCCCTGCTGACAGCTGAGGAACAAACACTCCTTTATCTGCTCTCTGTCTGCTTCTCTCTGCAGATGGTGGTCACCTGGTTGAGAGGAGGATGAGAGCTGAGAGGAAGATCTGAGTCCTGCTGATCCACAGAGGATGAAGCAGCAGCAGCTTGTGTGCAGACAGACTCTGATGAGGATGAAGTCAGTTCCTGTTCTGGGCTTTTCCTTTTTTGAAGTGGCCTCAACCCGACGTCCTTAGGGCTGCAGGCTGAGGCCCACAGCCATTAGTGAAACACAGAAACTCCTAATGCTCCACCCCCCCACCACCCCTCTACTCCATCTCTCCTTCCACCCACACCACCACACCCTACCAAAGATAAACCCCCTCCTTCCTTCTCCATTTAAGTTGACTTTTTGTAATTCACATGTTCTGTTTTATTTTAAATAGTTCAAATATATTTTAGTTTGTACAGAACCATTTTGGATTTAATTGTTAGGAGTTATTAGGATTTATTTGGTATTTTTTAAGCTCCTCCCATTAATTTGGGAGAGTAAGAACAGCCAGGGTATATCTGGATGGGGGTTGTGGTTTGTAAGGAGCAATATCAAGTGTGATGACGGGAGATTTTTTTGACCACTTCTACTACACTTTTGTGTTACCTTTTCGATCTCCTTTTTTACTTTTCATTTGCAACAAAGTTAGAATGGAATTTTGGTTGTTATTTCCCTATAATTTTATAAGAATTGAAAGGAAATTGTGTCAAAACCACAAACCACCTGTTGCCACTGACGGCCTTTTCCTTGTTGGAAGAATTTGGTTTGGAAAAATTAAAAGGCCGTGACAGGGTTTGTTCCGGCTTTGCTGATTCATTTCTGTTCATCTATAGTATTCATGTATTAATTTATATTTAGTTTCATCTTACATTTACACACTAGTTCATAGCAAACATTACTGATGAGTTGACAAAGTTAGTTTAAGTGAATAAATGCTGTTTTCTGGTTTAAAGACGTGTGGTCTCCATCTTTAGTCTCCACCTCTGAGCCAGGTTGGGACTCCCTTCAAACAGGTTTTGAAGGGTAAGAACAGAAAAGACTGCAGTCTGAGAGCTTCAGAAAACATCTTTACTGGAGACTTCAACCGTCCAGACTTCCTCCTTCTCAGTTCCCTACAGGTCACCAGCTTTCCTGGAGCCACCTTCAAGCAGGCGGAGGCCATCTTGTTGGGTGCCATGGCAACCACCCAGGTAAGGAAACTGGTGACGCTGGCCCAGACCCAGATGTGCAGCCAGAGGCAGAAGAACCAGGCTCACTCATGTCCAGCTACTTCTGTACTATAGAACCTGCTTTTTACTGGAGTCTGTTCAGCCCTCCACTTCACTGGACTGACACCAGAACTCTGACTCTGCTTTTATCTGTGTGTTCAGCCTGAGCAGATCCTGATCTGAACAAAGCTTTCTAAGACAGTTTAATTTTGACTGAGCAGAACACTTGAAAGCAGCATGTGCATGTCTGTGCTCTAAAAGTGGCATTCACTCATTTATATTCTGCCTTAAATGGAGGAAAACTGAAGAAACGCTTCCTTTTTTCCTGCTGTAGTTACACCAAACTGCCACAGAGTGTCGCTGTGGTCAGGCTGTACTGCATGGCCACTGGTTAAAGCTGAAAGAAAAGAGTAACTAAAACATAAAATGCAGCCCAAATAAGGTCAATACTGAGCACGTCTATTTTACTGGACATATAGTTAATTGAAATCTACAGTAAATGTTTAAAATAAACCAATGTATGCCAAACACAGAAAAATAACAGAAAACAGTCACAGCAACAGAAAACCTCCTGAAAAATTAATCACGTGGCCAGTATCAGCCTTCACTTATTAGCTACTTTATCTGCTCCATAACGAGGTACCAAAATACCTTCAACTCACCAAACATTTAACTTAACTAAGAAGAAGTCCTCAGGTAATAAATTGCTATTATTAGTTTCAGATGGGAAAATGTAATGTAAGTTTTCTTTGCCTTTAACATCTAATTCAGCTGTGACAAAAAACATCAGTTTAAACATATTTCTCCAGGGAAATACTTTTTTTTTCCCCACTGAATTCAAAATATCTTTGGAAATCGATGTGGAAAAATCTCAAACCTAAACATTTTACTAGTTCACATTTGCTGAATTTCTACCCATCTGATAAAGAAAACAAAAAGTTTTAAATGCAGATGTATAAAGTTTCAAACTTTGCTTTGGCAGTGTTCACACAGTGAGCCTCACAGTGAACATGAACTCTTATTTCAGATCCAGAACATCAGCAGAGCTGCTCTGTGCTCAGAGAGCTTCATGGACTGAGTTATGATGCAGATTACCCCCCAAAAAACATTATTCACTGTATGATGGGCATTATGACTGGAGGACTTCTCTCATTTATATCTAGAGTTGATAATCTATCAACTATCTATTCATATATTTCTATAATATTTATCAAATGATTCTCTCTGAGCAGTGTTTCCATCACAGTTTTTTATTTAATCTATTATTATAATGCAAATGCATTTATCTTACTTATCAAATCACTGTCTTATCTAGTCTCCTGTAAATCTGTTCTTTTCTTAGCTCCAGTTCTTCTTTGAACGTTTGGTGTATTCTCTTCTTGTGTGGGTCTCTGTCCCATTGGATGAGCTGGAACTCCATCTGTGACTCTGAGCTGGGAGGGTTGGCTGGAGGAACTTTGGGGAGATTTCTTTAATCCTGCTTTGGAGGGGCTCACTGTTCACATGTTGAGAGCCTCCACATTGGCTAAAGTTTCACTGGGCTTCATATGAACACTGTTTTCAGCAGTCTTCGTGTTTGTTAGTGCCTGAGCCCCTCTATGAGCCCCTCAAAAATAAAGTGTAATATGTATAAAAATAATGTGCTGCCTCAACATAAAAAAATGTATGTAACAATTTGCATAGATTTTTTTAAAGCTATTTAAACTCAGCCATAATTGAGTAGGTGCCACACGGATTATCTGGTTAGGCAAACTCATTTACTTTATCACAGGCAACATGATTTTCTTTGTCCATTACAAGCTTAATTAAGTTGGACCAACTTAATTTTCCTTGTGTAAAAATGACCCCTAAAAATAAACCAGCAGACAAAGATTCAATATGAACCTGTCATCTGCTTTGTGATTCCTGTTTTAATAAAATGCAAGCATTGAAATATAGGCATTTCAAGAACAAAAAGAAGAATCAGTAATTCTACAGCAGAAATGTGTCCATCCTATTGTTTTTCTGCTGTAAAACCTTTGATCAGAGCAAAAAAAAGAAAAATAATAAAACAATGTTTTATTACAGAGTTCTATGATCATAACCATGTAAAAAATGAGGTATCATTCTCAGTAAATTAGGTCTATTCTACCATAAGTTACATAAATAAGTGTCAGGTGTGTGTTAATGTGCTGGAAACAAGTGAAGTCAGAGTAGAAACTAGAACATGTGGTGATGGTTTGGATGAAGAAATGATTTTAGTTAGTTGGCAAAGATTGAATGAAGTAAAGCAGTTAAAACATATAACTGATTTTACAGTTGTTCTTCCGGTTTCTGAGCCAGTTGAGGGCAAGTCTTGGTGGATTTTGTTTCTAGTAGCTAGAATTTTATCATTAAAGAAGCTCATGAAATCATGACTAGTGAGAGCTATGGGAGTACTTGACTCAATAGATGTATACATTTTATAAACGAGCATCAGTGACGCTTAAAGAGAATGCAGACAGCAGTTCCTGATATTTTGTTAGATCATCTGGATTTTGGGATTTTTGCCATTTCCTTCTGAGAGGCTCGGGCAGGTTTAGTGGATAGCTTGTCTTTGGGTAGAAAAGATGCTGTCAATTGCGTTGAGAGACCAGCCGACCAAATCCATGGTTAGGCTTTAGAATTAAAACAGGATTAAAAGATACATTAAATGATGAATAATTGAAATAATAATTGGATTGAAATGCAAAGGCCCGGCCTCTCTCAGAGGAGCAGTGTCTGTGGACCGTCCTGCTGGAGTCTTTCTCCAAAGCCTCCTCTGACACACTGATCCAGCTCCACACCTTCAGCAGCTCATTGGCTGCAGACCCTCTGCTTCCTGGTTCAGCTTCTGCTTTACTTCTGTGTGCTGCCTGTAGAGAGCCTCCTCCGGCCCTTTACAGCCTGGAGCTGCTGCCCCGGGGGTTTGTGTTAAAGAAGAGTCTTAGCCTGTGTCTGAGGAAGCAAGGGATCATTTCATTGAGAGCAAACTTCATCAGGTGACAGCGTCCACCATGCCGACGTGCAGAGCAAGACAACAGCTGCTACCTCTCAGAAAGCTGAGGATAACAGGAGACCATCACCAAGAGAGCTGAGCATGTGACCAGAGCCAAACGTTTCCGTCACAGCTGCGTTCTTCCAGGATCCACACGGCGTTTCTCCAGTGGAAGCCTCACTGGTTGTGTTTCTCTGCAGCAGCATTCAGCTCATGTCAGCTGCTGCTAGTTTTGCTGCTCATGAAACAAACTGTGAGGATCCTCACTGTTCCAGAGAGGGCCCCACATGTGGAAAGAACCAGTCCTGGGCAGCTCCCTGCCCTCCAGCATCCATTCCCTCTCTCCAAAGCAGAGACAGTTCAGCCTGGTCCAGAACTTAACTGACCTGTTGAGGGGTCTGAGCTAACTGTAAAAAAAATACAGCTTTTGTAAAAATCTCAACTGTCCTACCAAAGATGAACCTCTTGGTGAGCTTTACTGTAAGAAACAGATCTGTTCTCCTTACAAACTTTGAGAGTTTAAATCAGTTTTTAAAAGAAAGAGCAACAGGGTTTCCTTGATAATAATCAAAATTGCTTATTTTCTTCCATCAATAGCTGTGACATAGCTCTGCTTCAAACTTCTCTCTAAGATGAAGAGTCTGAGGAAACAATGTCTGCTGCCTTCACAGACGGGGGTCAGGAAGGCCTACTGAGGCAACATGTTGTGTTACTGATGGTTCACTTCCCATTTCTGAACATTCTGGTGAAGCATTCAGCCTCCTCTGAAGTGTTAACACATTGTCCCTGTTAGCAGAGCGTGGCTGGGCAGCAGCAGGAGGGTCCCTCAGCTTCCACTGCACAGACACATGCTCAGTAACTCCACAGCCTCATTCTGTGACATTCAGATGCAGCTGGGTGATTTAATGTCCTCCTGCTGGATCCCAGCTGCCTGCTAAAGGACTGAACAGAATTCTTCTTCTGACAAAAAATACATATATTGTGTTCCAGATTAGGAGGATCTGGAAAATGATAAGGCCCAGTTTACTTAAAACTCTGATGTAAGGTTCCTGAGTTCACATGTCAAACAGCAGACTTTCAACCACTTATGCAGGAAAGCCTCTATAAAGTTACACTATGGTGTGTTGTAAGTAAAATCTGAGAGCAAAAAATGTATTTGATGTGTAGCAGTCACTACCTTCCCATAATGCAAATGTTCAAACTGGATACACATAAGATTTACTTCATGCTTTAGTTTGTGTTGCACTGGAAGCAGCCTGAATTTCATCAGTTTTGTACTAAATGGCTCTCACTGTTTGTTATAGCTTTGTTCACTATAATGGGGAGAAAGCTCTTTGCTCACGGTATCTTTTTGCTTTGTTGTCTCATCTATGCAAATCCATGTTTGGTTTCACTACTTTGTACAGTAATGACATCAGACTTGCTTCCAGTAAGCGCAGTGGGCCCATCTGAAGGACCTCATTTACTATAAAAACATGAAGTAATGTGCATCCTAACTCAGTCCATGAAGCTCTCTGAGCTCAGAGCAGCTCTGCTGATGGCAGCACTGTGAGCTGCCCTCTTCCTTCATCAGCAGGAGGAGAAACATCCATGACATCCAACATCCTTATAGAAAAGTCCCATTATGAAAAGGGTCACACACAGGTCTGAGAAGAGCAGAGAAACAGAACATCTACATCTAAATATGTAAAACCATTCACTAATTTTGTTATTCAGCCATGAAGACCATTCACAGCAAACAATCACAGAATATTTACAGTACACAGAGCTTCATCTTTTCATGTTTAGTGTAAAATATACAATATAATGTATATATTTTTATGTATAACAGCAATTGTCTTTTTGGTGGGCATTGAGCAACATTAGGACAGATGCTGCAATAAGATACGGTAAAACATTTCCTCGACCTAAGGATACCAGTTATTAGTCCATGCTAAAAACTGAGATACCAAAGGAA